GTTTCAGATTCCTCAACTACATCCTCTATGTCGGTGAGATCACAGAGATGTGCAACCTCACGCTGTGCGAGTGAGCCAGAGAATGTGCAAGCCGGAAACGTATGCGAAAGCCGTCCCGGCCCGAAGCCTAGCCAGGATCCCTGCCCAGCAGAACACTTTGATCATCATGAGCCTTTCCAACATGAAGAAGGTCCAGCTCCAGAACCTCTTGAGCGACATGGGAGAAGAAGCCCCACTACGCTGGACCAAGGTGGAACTCCGGCAGCGCATCGTGGAGATCAACCCGGAGCTCGCCGAGCACAAGCGTGGACAGGACAACGACACCGAGCTACGTGGACTGATCCGGAAGATCAATCAGGCCAGCAAGAAGAAGCAGCTGCTGGTTTCCCTGTGCGAGGGGGAGCTACAGCTGGCCCTGACAGGGAACGAGACAATGGCCCAGCTAGAGCGCCGTGCGGTGGAACAGGCTCATCGCCTGGCCCGTGCTCATGCTCACGACTATGTGGGTTTCGGAAAGCACAGCGGGCTCCAGTACGAAGACATCAACCGGTACCAGCCATCGTACAGAGCTTGGGTGATCCAGACAGACCAGGAGAGCCCGGGAGCAGACTACCGTCTACGCCGGCTCGCCGCATGGCTGAGGGCCAATCCTCCAGCGATCGAGGACGAGATGCCGACTCGCGAGGTGCGGCCCAAAGCCAAGAGTGCCACGCGAGCCAAGCCACCGGTGAAGGACTTCCCGATGGAGATGAACGACGGTGCCTCAGCGACTTCGTCAGAGACGCCCCCAATCCAGGCCGCTCAGATGGCCCAGGTGTTATCGCAGCTCGCCGGGGCCATCGAGACTCTTCAGACGGAGATGAAGGACCTCAAGGACGAGAAAGTGGAACGTCCGAGGAAGAAGGACACCAAGGAGATGCAACGCCGGGCCGAATCGGACGCAACCTCCGACGGGTACACGAAGGTGAGCCCAGAGTGAGCGGGAACAATGATCTCAGCCAAGCCGAGGCATATGAAGCCCCAAGCAGTCAATTGAG